TCAATGATAACCAGAGCTCTACCGGTTCTGCGGACGGAACCGATTCGAGCGCAACGCCGCGCCGGAGACCCACATCTCTTGATCTGAATCCGTCGTATAAGAGTGGTTCGGATCAGTTGAAGGCAACCGCTGGCGGTCACGAGTCGTCGGACATGAAGGACATGAAGAAGCCGCAGACCCCGGAAACGCCGGAAACCAATTTGACGCAAGAGTTCTCCCTTTTGAACGTCAATATACCGAACGTTCAGATCGAGGAACTGAATGCAATCAAAAGGGTTTGCATAATAACCGCCACCTCTTCCATATCGTGTCGACTGAAGATGACATTCCCATCGGGTTATCCCAATCACGTGGCGCCGCACTTCAGTTTCTTAAGCAACGGCGCGACCGCACCGTCCGATGACGTGAAGAAAGAGCTGCTGAAAGTGCTGCAAACGACGGCTTTCCTTCAGGTGAAGCGTAACCGCACGTGTCTCGAGCCATGTCTTCGACAGTTTATCGCAACACTCGAGCGCCTGACCGGCACTTCCCCGGCGCTGATGTACGGCACACGACTGGAGCCGATTTCAGGGTTAATACCCGGCCATCGCTACGGCTGCTATTTGGACGCCTCTTCCGTTCCTTTTCCCCGCACTTCTGGCGCCCGATTCTGTTCCGGAGAGGTATGCCATTAGTTTGAGTGGATTATTATGATAGCAATTGTTGACACTTTATAGCTATTGGTGTGTTTTGGACGACCGCCTCATTTGGAGCAAATGAACGCACAGACAGAATACACGCCGCGATCGTTGAGTGCTTTAGACGCCTACCTGTCCACTCATCACCGGTCGGCTCAACCCAATCAAAACGTGGACCCAATCGTGCCGTCCATCTCATCCTTTTATTTCGATCCGTCGCGACGTAAAAGATATAAAACTAAATTAAGACGCAATCAAATGGAGACCAAAGTGGGCGCCGCCGGCAAACACAACAGCAATAACTGCGGTCCGGTGTATGTCTTCTCAGTGGCCGGACTGTTGCCCATCAGTCGAGTGTTGGCCGAGAATTATGTGATGAATACAAACGGAGACATTGTGTCGATGTGTGAGACCAACGCCAAAGTGGCCAACACTTTCGGGCGCCGGGACTTATGCCAGACCTGGAATTTAGTCAAATTGAGTGCTGAGATATACCTGAAGAGTTTGAATCAGGCAAACCTAATGGAGACGCCCTGGGCTTTGCACCCATTCGGCAAACGTATGGTTCAGTCGC